AGCGCCGCACGTGCCGCACGTGCCGCACGTGCCGCGCGGGTACCTTGGCGTCGCTGAGGTCGGCGAGGCGCAGCAGGTCGGCCAGGTGTTCGCGCAGCGCCAGCGCCAGGCGGTCGCGCGCGGCGCCGGGCTGCGCGAGCGCGTGCAGGCGGCACAGCGCCGCACGTGCCGCACGTGCCGCACGTGCCGCGCGGGTACCTTGGCGTCGCTGAGGTCGGCGAGGCGCAGCAGGTCGGCCAGGTTGTCGCGCAGCGCCAGCGCCAGGCGGTCGCGCGCGGCGCCGGGCTGCGCGAGCGCGTGCAGGCGGCACAGCGCCGCACGTGCCGCACGTGCCGCACGTGCCGCGCGGGTACCTTGGCGTCGCTGAGGTCGGCGAGGCGCAGCAGGTCGGCCAGGTTGTCGCGCAGCGCCAGCGCCAGGCGGTCGCGCGCGGCGCCGGGCTGCGCGAGCGCGTGCACGCGGCACAGCGCCGCACGTGCCGCACGTGCCGCACGTGCCGCGCGGGTACCTTGGCGTCGCTGAGGTCGGCGAGGCGCAGCAGGTCGGCCAGGTTGTCGCGCAGCGCCAGCGCCAGGCGGTCGCGCGCGGCGCCGGGCTGCGCGAGCGCGTGCACGCGGCACAGCGCCGCACGTGCCGCACGTGCCGCACGTGCCGCGCGGGTACCTTGGCGTCGCTGAGGTCGGCGAGGCGCAGCAGGTCGGCCAGGTTGTCGCGCAGCGCCAGCGCCAGGCGGTCGCGCGCGGCGCCGGGCTGCGCGAGCGCGTGCAGGCGGCACAGCGCCGCACGTGCCGCACGTGCCGCACGTGCCGCGCGGGTACCTTGGCGTCGCTGAGGTCGGCGAGGCGCAGCAGGTCGGCCAGGTTGTCGCGCAGCGCCAGCGCCAGGCGGTCGCGCGCGGCGCCGGGCTGCGCGAGCGCGTGCAGGCGGCACAGCGCCGCACGTGCCGCACGTGCCGCACGTGCCGCGCGGGTACCTTGGCGTCGCTGAGGTCGGCGAGGCGCAGCAGGTCGGCCAGGTTGTCGCGCAGCGCCAGCGCCAGGCGGTCGCGCGCGGCGCCGGGCTGCGCGAGCGCGTGCAGGCGGCACAGCGCCGCACGTGCCGCACGTGCCGCACGTGCCGCGCGGGTACCTTGGCGTCGCTGAGGTCGGCGAGGCGCAGCAGGTCGGCCAGGTTGTCGCGCAGCGCCAGCGCCAGGCGGTCGCGCGCGGCGCCGGGCTGCGCGAGCGCGTGCAGGCGGCACAGCGCCGCACGTGCCGCACGTGCCGCACGTGCCGCGCGGGTACCTTGGCGTCGCTGAGGTCGGCGAGGCGCAGCAGGTCGGCCAGGTTGTCGCGCAGCGCCAGCGCCAGGCGGTCGCGCGCGGCGCCGGGCTGCGCGAGCGCGTGCAGGCGGCACAGCGCCGCACGTGCCGCACGTGCCGCACGTGCCGCGCGGGTACCTTGGCGTCGCTGAGGTCGGCGAGGCGCAGCAGGTCGGCCAGGTTGTCGCGCAGCGCCAGCGCCAGGCGGTCGCGCGCGGCGCCGGGCTGCGCGAGCGCGTGCAGGCGGCACAGCGCCGCACGTGCCGCACGTGCCGCACGTGCCGCGCGGGTACCTTGGCGTCGCTGAGGTCGGCGAGGCGCAGCAGGTCGGCCAGGTTGTCGCGCAGCGCCAGCGCCAGGCGGTCGCGCGCGGCGCCGGGCTGCGCGAGCGCGTGCAGGCGGCACAGCGCCGCACGTGCCGCACGTGCCGCGCGGGTACCTTGGCGTCGCTGAGGTCGGCGAGGCGCAGCAGGTCGGCCAGGTTGTCGCGCAGCGCCAGCGCCAGGCGGTCGCGCGCGGCGCCGGGCTGCGCGAGCGCGTGCAGGCGGCACAGCGCCGCACGTGCCGCACGTGCCGCACGTGCCGCGCGGGTACCTTGGCGTCGCTGAGGTCGGCGAGGCGCAGCAGGTCGGCCAGGTTGTCGCGCAGCGCCAGCGCCAGGCGGTCGCGCGCGGCGCCGGGCTGCGCGAGCGCGTGCAGGCGGCACAGCGCCGCACGTGCCGCACGTGCCGCACGTGCCGCACGTGCCGCGCGGGTACCTTGGCGTCGCTGAGGTCGGCGAGGCGCAGCAGGTCGGCCAGGTTGTCGCGCAGCGCCAGCGCCAGGCGGTCGCGCGCGGCGCCGGGCTGCGCGAGCGCGTGCACGCGGCACAGCGCCGCACGTGCCGCACGTGCCGCACGTGCCGCACGTGCCGCACGTGCCGCGCGGGTACCTTGGCGTCGCTGAGGTCGGCGAGGCGCAGCAGGTCGGCCAGGTTGTCGCGCAGCGCCAGCGCCAGGCGGTCGCGCGCGGCGCCGGGCTGCGCGAGCGCGTGCACGCGGCACAGCGCCGCACGTGCCGCACGTGCCGCACGTGCCGCGCGGGTACCTTGGCGTCGCTGAGGTCGGCGAGGCGCAGCAGGTCGGCCAGGTTGTCGCGCAGCGCCAGCGCCAGGCGGTCGCGCGCGGCGCCGGGCTGCGCGAGCGCGTGCAGGCGGCACAGCGCCGCACGTGCCGCACGTGCCGCACGTGCCGCGCGGGTACCTTGGCGTCGCTGAGGTCGGCGAGGCGCAGCAGGTCGGCCAGGTTGTCGCGCAGCGCCAGCGCCAGGCGGTCGCGCGCGGCGCCGGGCTGCGCGAGCGCGTGCAGGCGGCACAGCGCCGCACGTGCCGCACGTGCCGCACGTGCCGCGCGGGTACCTTGGCGTCGCTGAGGTCGGCGAGGCGCAGCAGGTCGGCCAGGTTGTCGCGCAGCGCCAGCGCCAGGCGGTCGCGCGCGGCGCCGGGCTGCGCGAGCGCGTGCAGGCGGCACAGCGCCGCACGTGCCGCACGTGCCGCACGTGCCGCGCGGGTACCTTGGCGTCGCTGAGGTCGGCGAGGCGCAGCAGGTCGGCCAGGTTGTCGCGCAGCGCCAGCGCCAGGCGGTCGCGCGCGGCGCCGGGCTGCGCGAGCGCGTGCAGGCGGCACAGCGCCGCACGTGCCGCACGTGCCGCACGTGCCGCACGTGCCGCGCGGGTACCTTGGCGTCGCTGAGGTCGGCGAGGCGCAGCAGGTCGGCCAGGTTGTCGCGCAGCGCCAGCGCCAGGCGGTCGCGCGCGGCGCCGGGCTGCGCGAGCGCGTGCAGGCGGCACAGCGCCGCACGTGCCGCACGTGCCGCACGTGCCGCGCGGGTACCTTGGCGTCGCTGAGGTCGGCGAGGCGCAGCAGGTCGGCCAGGTTGTCGCGCAGCGCCAGCGCCAGGCGGTCGCGCGCGGCGCCGGGCTGCGCGAGCGCGTGCAGGCGGCACAGCGCCGCACGTGCCGCACGTGCCGCACGTGCCGCGCGGGTACCTTGGCGTCGCTGAGGTCGGCGAGGCGCAGCAGGTCGGCCAGGTTGTCGCGCAGCGCCAGCGCCAGGCGGTCGCGCGCGGCGCCGGGCTGCGCGAGCGCGTGCAGGCGGCACAGCGCCGCACGTGCCGCACGTGCCGCACGTGCCGCGCGGGTACCTTGGCGTCGCTGAGGTCGGCGAGGCGCAGCAGGTCGGCCAGGTTGTCGCGCAGCGCCAGCGCCAGGCGGTCGCGCGCGGCGCCGGGCTGCGCGAGCGCGTGCAGGCGGCACAGCGCCGCACGTGCCGCACGTGCCGCACGTGCCGCGCGGGTACCTTGGCGTCGCTGAGGTCGGCGAGGCGCAGCAGGTCGGCCAGGTTGTCGCGCAGCGCCAGCGCCAGGCGGTCGCGTGCCGCGCGGGTACCTTGGCGTCGCTGAGGTCGGCGAGGCGCAGCAGGTCGGCCAGGTTGTCGCGCAGCGCCAGCGCCAGGCGGTCGCGCGCGGCGCCGGGCTGCGCGAGCGCGTGCAGGCGGCACAGCGCCGCACGTGCCGCACGTGCCGCACGTGCCGCGCGGGTACCTTGGCGTCGCTGAGGTCGGCGAGGCGCAGCAGGTCGGCCAGGTTGTCGCGCAGCGCCAGCGCCAGGCGGTCGCGCGCGGCGCCGGGCTGCGCGAGCGCGTGCACGCGGCACAGCGCCGCACGTGCCGCACGTGCCGCACGTGCCGCACGTGCCGCGCGGGTACCTTGGCGTCGCTGAGGTCGGCGAGGCGCAGCAGGTCGGCCAGGTTGTCGCGCAGCGCCAGCGCCAGGCGGTCGCGCGCGGCGCCGGGCTGCGCGAGCGCGTGCAGGCGGCACAGCGCCGCACGTGCCGCACGTGCCGCACGTGCCGCGCGGGTACCTTGGCGTCGCTGAGGTCGGCGAGGCGCAGCAGGTCGGCCAGGTTGTCGCGCAGCGCCAGCGCCAGGCGGTCGCGCGCGGCGCCGGGCTGCGCGAGCGCGTGCACGCGGCACAGCGCCGCACGTGCCGCACGTGCCGCACGTGCCGCACGTGCCGCGCGGGTACCTTGGCGTCGCTGAGGTCGGCGAGGCGCAGCAGGTCGGCCAGGTTGTCGCGCAGCGCCAGCGCCAGGCGGTCGCGCGCGGCGCCGGGCTGCGCGAGCGCGTGCACGCGGCACAGCGCCGCACGTGCCGCACGTGCCGCACGTGCCGCGCGGGTACCTTGGCGTCGCTGAGGTCGGCGAGGCGCAGCAGGTCGGCCAGGTTGTCGCGCAGCGCCAGCGCCAGGCGGTCGCGCGCGGCGCCGGGCTGCGCGAGCGCGTGCAGGCGGCACAGCGCCGCACGTGCCGCACGTGCCGCACGTGCCGCGCGGGTACCTTGGCGTCGCTGAGGTCGGCGAGGCGCAGCAGGTCGGCCAGGTTGTCGCGCAGCGCCAGCGCCAGGCGGTCGCGCGCGGCGCCGGGCTGCGCGAGCGCGTGCACGCGGCACAGCGCCGCACGTGCCGCACGTGCCGCACGTGCCGCGCGGGTACCTTGGCGTCGCTGAGGTCGGCGAGGCGCAGCAGGTCGGCCAGGTTGTCGCGCAGCGCCAGCGCCAGGCGGTCGCGCGCGGCGCCGGGCTGCGCGAGCGCGTGCAGGCGGCACAGCGCCGCACGTGCCGCACGTGCCGCACGTGCCGCACGTGCCGCACGTGCCGCGCGGGTACCTTGGCGTCGCTGAGGTCGGCGAGGCGCAGCAGGTCGGCCAGGTTGTCGCGCAGCGCCAGCGCCAGGCGGTCGCGCGCGGCGCCGGGCTGCGCGAGCGCGTGCAGGCGGCACAGCGCCGCGCCGCGCCGGCACAGCGCCTCCACCGCCCACCCGCGCAGCCGCTCCTGCTCCCTGCCGCCACACCACACCACACACCATTATGCAACGATTACTACTCGCCGACCACACACGAACAACCACCAGTACGAACATGTAGCGACTTGTTCGGGTGTGCTCGCTACTCGACCCGAGTATTCACCTAATCTTCACGCGATGTTTGTTTTTTAGCACGAGTCAAAGGAATGTTCATGTGTTTCCGTATCGGTATTTATAAGCCGTAAACTTTATCGCAGGTGGTTATTATTTTTCATATAAAACAAACAGCAGACTATACAGGGTTATTTTGCAAAAACAGGACAATTTTGCAGAGAAAATACTGTATAAGTAATATAGGCAAATGGTGAAGAAAACTAATTTAAAAACCTCAAACGTACAGTCATTATTATCTTTTAAATTCAAAATGCTTGGTAATGCATGATTTTAACTGATTATCATTCATAAATATCTAACGCTTACTATTTTACACACGCACACATTAGTAAGAGTCGCTCGGTAAAGTACCTTGTGGTGCTTTTTTTTCTCGCCCTTCCCTTCTGTTTCCCGTTACACCACTAAGACCCTACGTCTGCTCGCCCGACCGACAGCTGACAGTGTTGACCGTCACCTCATTATGGACGTTTCGTTACCAATGACGTAACAAAAATATTCAAACCGCGGATACTATGAAATTAATTTTAAGCAATGAAAGTTTACGTGGTGCGCAAAGATACTAAAGTGAGTCTTACCGCGGCAAGAAATTAACGTACGTGTACCTACCAATCGAAAGTAATTGACAGATAGTCAAACTATTCAAGTGTAGTTTGCGATAACTTAAATAGTGAATATGAAGATAGGTGGATTGCACACGGAGGCCTAGTACTATGGTCTACAAACTTGCCGGAACTTTAACCGTCAGTCTTTTATCTGTGTATAAAGAGTCGTGTTTACGTCAAAGAGGCCCAAAGTAATGAAGACCGATACAATAAAACTATTACTGCATACAGGGAAGTTAAAAGTGCTGAAGAACAGGTAATAAGTGTAAATTATTTTAAGAAACGTGCGTCTATGCATAAAGAATGTGGCGGCACGGTAGTTCGACCGTTCGGCAATCTTCGGAAGCCCTCGGTTGCGCGGGAGCAACCGACTTGGTTTTCCTCGCCTCGCCAGTCGACCCGACCGTCAGACGCTGTGAGGACGCTGGTTCACGCTCCGATCCGCTACTTTGAATTTACGTTGTGAATAAATGGTTATTTAATATAATTCCATTTTGAGGTACCAATATTAGATATTGGGACTACTTGCGTAATTTAATCGTAAATAGTTTATTTAAATTTTTTAAATACGCCATTATAATGACACTCGTCGGTTACATCGTTGATAAGCAAAAATATATTTTTTATTTATTATGACGATAATAACTAAGCCCGTTAAAAGTGTAACAGGACAATTGAAATCATACTTCGCGTCATGTAGTTATTAACTTAAGTATTAGTAGTAAGCGTGTGACTAAGAAAGTAGAAAGTAGACTATAGGCAAAAACTTGAGAAACAAAAACGTGAATTGAATCATACACACAGGAGCGCGCGTAACAGTAGTCGTTGCCCATAAATCACCATAACATTCAATTTAAAAAACAGCTTAGTAATTTTTAAGGTTTTCACCGTACTGTACTAAACATTAATCTCTATTCCGTATCAGAAAAGTGGGCATTTGATTATTTATCACGGACAATTGAATCCCGGTGGACAGCAATCAACGCACTGCACTGGGACTTCGATAGCGAGCTGGAAGGGTCGAATAAGGAGTGTGTACATACTTTTAACAGCTACTAATCGGAATACAACAGAATCAAGAAAGCTATTAACAAAAAATGTGGTCAGTATCTCATAGGGAAAAGTCTACGCCGCAGATGGAGATCCCGACTTTCAGTGGAAATTATAACACTTGGCCCACCTTCAAGGTCCTTGTCACTGAAACAATTCATAACAATCCGTCTATATCCAACGCGGAAAAGATGCAGTATCTCAAGACCAAGGTGAAAGGAGAAGCCGAGGGACTTTTTTTTTTTACATGGGGAAATGCCTACGCATACCCGCCTCGCGGGGGCAAGGACGGGTTATGTCGGACTCGCACCGACTAAAACCCCATGGTGTTCCACCCTCGTCGCATATTGGCAGGGCCACGGGAACGCTTTCGCACACTTCCGCGGCCCCACCTGCGCTGGCCACTCCAAGGCGGCCCCTCCTCGGGAGAGGACTACTCCTCCCCCATCTCCCTCTCCGGTAAGGCGCACCAGAACACATGGCGCGCCCTCCTCCTCGGCCTCCAATTTCACATGCGCAACGGACGCCCCCGTGTCCGATGCGCGAAGACCATGGGGCCAGGAAAAACTAGCACTCAGTAGCACCAGCCTTCCTGACCCCAGCGGCGGATCTGGTCTATGGCTCCGCCGCCAACCAAGATTCGGCTGCGGAGGGTAGGGAGAGCGGCGCCTCGCAATACCGGCACTCCTCTCCACCCGCAGCCCCACCACCACCGCATCAATTAACGGTGCGGCCCCGTCTGAGTCGCGGAGGATAGGGCGAGTGGCGCATCGCCATACCAACACTCCTCTTCCTCCGCGACTCCACCTCGGCTGCAGCGGTAGAGGGTGCGGACTCCCCTCTCACCGCAGCCCCCCGACACACATCCGAAGTGGGCTCACCAAGCCCACTCGGAGTGGCCACCTCGGGCCAGCCCTACACCACGGGCCAGCCAAGGGGTTCCTCTTATATCCAACGCGGAAAAGATGCAGTATCTCAAGACCAAGGTGAAAGGAGAAGCCGAGGGACTGATCTAACATCTCAACATTAGCTCAGACAACTGCTGTGTATTAGGACATTTTAAATCAAATATTTTATAACAAAAGGCTTATATATTTGTCTCATATTAGTTTACCATTAAATATTCCTGTTATGCAATATCAGTCCTTGAATCATATCAAGCGCATTCATGATACTATAATTGAGTGTATTCAAGAACCTAGGGGTCGAAGCAAGCTAATGGAACCCTCTGATTGTATACATATTGTCGCAAAAATTAGACACCGAATCATACATAGATTATATTGAATCTGTTAAGCACCCAAGAGAGTTAGTTGCTTATACTGACCGATATTTTGCATTTTTTGGAAACCAAATTCACTAAGTTAGAATCAGCTAGTAAGAAGCAAGATAAACCCTACACAAAAATATCAAGGAAACTTAAAAGCTGTTAATATAATAATCAGAAATCGAATTACTACAAAAATTCATTCCCTACAGGCATACGAATGACGCCGAAAAAATCAAGTAGCAAAAATATCAACTAAATACAAATGCTCTCTCTGCAGCGATGAGCACGGGATTTATTTCTGTCAAAAAAAATTATATATGTTGTGCCAAGCAGTAGAAGAAAAATAGTTACAAAATTAAATCTTTGTCCTAATTTTCCAATTGTCCAATATTTAAATCGCGCCAATATCATTGGCTTTCCAGCTCAACTATCTTTTCTACAACTAATTGTTTACATTTATTCCCCACCTCTTTCCCTCGCTCTCTCTGTCTTTTATGTGGGAATAAAAATATTATTTAAATCGAGGTGTGCAGAACTTTTTATTTGCATAGCATGTATCCCAGTCATCGATGAAATATTTTTTTTTATTTTATTTATTATGCCGGTCATAAGCCCGTTTAAAGTATGAAAGAAAAATTGGAATCATAGTTCGCGTCGTAGTTATCAAAAGCTCCGTGCATTGACTCGTACATACACGAGCTCGCGTCGTTCTTGTCCATAAATCACATTTAGTTTAGGATATTTTCAAATAAATATAGGAACCTTGTTTACGCGTATTTTTCAAAACTGCAAAAAGTGTATAGAGGTATTTATATTTTGAAATTAATTATTAAATTTTGCTGGTCTGAAAAATAACCCTGTATACTGTCGCGAACTTTTTTGTAGAACTATTTCGGAGAAACAATTTCACCATACATTATATTCGTGTAACTCTTACAGTTTTTGTACCGCACGCCAAAATAGCTCGCAGATGACAAATCTTTTTCAGACTTACTTAACACTTATCATTATTTTTTGGTCAATTTACACAATGTCTTTATGAATTATAGCATATGTGTTATTCTGATGTATGAGCAATATTACTGTAAAGTTTCATTAAAATCCATTCAGTAGTTTTGCTTGAAATAGTAACTAACGTCCATACATCCTCACAAACTTTTACCCACGCACCGCAAATATCGCAAACCATCTTCTGAACTATACAAATATACTGCGTCAATATGGCCCCAATCGGTCAAGTTCTTCAGAACTTACACGATCACTTACTGACGCAACAACAATTGTAAAAAAAAATAAAATATACACTCACTGTTTAATTTTGTTGGCGTCGCTCCTCAAGTCGTTCTTCATACCCAAATACGCCAGCAATTTATCCTGGTCTATTTGTTTGATTACCTGCAAATAAACGTCAACCGCATTAAAATATTATATTACTTAAATTCCCAAATACTCATACGCTACTCAGTTTTAAGACCTAAGTCTCTATCACTTTATGTCTCGTACTCTGACACAAACTACGTAACAAGGTACGTGTACCGTGTACTGGAACGTTACACCAACTGATCGGCTAGGTTAGGTGAAATTCGTATATTTAAAAAATTATTATTTGAATGGTACTTAGAACATAGCCACGTAGCTTAGGTAAGGAAGGTAGTAAAAATCGACTACTGAAATAAAACCTAATACTAAATCTAAAATACATATTTAAAGTCACGTTATAAGTTGTTCTAATATTCCAAGTAGTTATCCACCGTAACAAAGTGTCAACGATTTTTACTGTGACTTTTTTGTAACCAGAACAATGGTCACGGTTACTTAAACATAAAACTTTTCCCCAAGTCTAGTCGCCTCATATGACCCTTACGGAATTATATGAATATTCCTACACCACCACTACACGGTAATAGATAATTTCTCAAAACATTTTATTTATCGACAACGTCTTGCAACTATCGTTTCTCTAGCGCACACTTGACGTTCATACAAATTATTCGATATTTGAATTGTTGATATTTTTTTTATTTTTGGATAAGAACATAGTAATGACTCTAAGTTATATTCATCATCATTTAAAAAAATATATTGTCTTTGGCCTGACCTACTATACTCTTTGGCTTGACCATAGGTCTGACTAAGTTGGTCCATTAAAATGTCGGGGGTTGAGAGGTTAATCTCTACAGGTTCGCCTTAATGTTTCAATATATATTTTATACGTGGTAGAGACATGCTCCAGCTATATTAGCAGTATAGTTGTAGCACGAATGGGTCGGCTCGACCGGGGAAGGACCACGCTCTCACAGAATACCAACGTAAAATGGCAGTTTGACACTGCTGTGTTTTTTATGGAGAGTGTAGAGTGTGTAAAAGGCCGGCAACGCATCTGCAATTCCCCTGGTGTTGCGGTTGTTCATGGGCGGCGGTAGTCACTTACCATCAGGTGAGCCGCATTGCTCGTTTGCCCCCTCTCCTATAAAAAAAAAAGAGAACCGGAGTCCTTACAGGTGACGACGCATCTGCATTTTGATTCTTTATTGAGGATAAAGCGAGTCTATGGGTCACAGCAACCACTTATCATCAGGTGGACTGTGTGCTCGTTTGTCACTCTATCCTATATAAAAAAAATATTTTTACATAAATTAAATAAGTCAATAAATCAAGTCTATAGACACCGTAGACACGTTGTGAATAAAAAATAGAGTTCATTATCTATTGCCATAGACAAAATACAGAAACATATTTAAAAACGTTTCGCTTCTCCTATAGTAAAAATATTAGCTTTCGTTTTTCAGATTAAAAAAAATGTTTTTTTATGATTTTTCCATGTATTACAGAAATAAAAACCATTTAATAATACTTCTAACTTATCGTTTTATTACCTACATATTTTTGTATTACTGTTACGAACTATGTCAAGCACCCAATTTCATACATATCCTTTATAAAATGTGATTATAGTGATAAAATCGCTATAATGCGTTACTAAATAAACTTATTTTCTTTCTTTCTTACTTTCTAAATGGAATGACAAACTTGTCTATGAGAATCAATGATTGCAGATCGCTCAGAATCAGGACTATATCTGGAAGAAACTCTATCCAATTCTTAAGCGGAAGCCTTTGCCTTTGTATGGGTATCATTATTATATAAGTCCACTGCTGAACATAGGCGTCCCCCAAAGAATCCCACACATCACGGTCCTGAGCCTGCATCCATCGACTTACTGCACGTCTTACCGGGTCGTCACTCCATCTAGTGGGGGGCCACCATACGCTTGCCTACAGGTACGATGCTGCTAATCGAGAACCTTGCTTCCTGGGTAATGGGTAACCCTACAAATATTGTATTGTAACAAAATTTTACAAATATAATTTCTTTGCACAGCTTTATACATAGAAATGTTCTTATGTTACCTTGTCAGCGATTGTAATTAGCTGTTCGCACCACGCTGTCGTTACGTCAGGATCTTCTGTGGCATGAGGTAGCCTGCAAACAAAGATAATAATCTCTATTACAACATGGGCGAATAGGATTCATTATTAATTCAAGTGGCAATGGGCTGGCCACGGCTATCGCAGAAGTGACAACAGTGGAGTAGACATGTTATGGGAGTGGAGACCGCGTAGTGTGTGACGCCCCCTGACCAGATGGAGCGACGATCTGCGCAAGTTGGCTGGTAAAAACTGGATGCGTGTAGCCGACGATCGGACTAAGTGGCGCGCTTTGGCAGAAGCCCATGCCCAGCAGTTGACTGCCGCAGGCTGGTGATGATGATCCATTCATTACAGCTTGTCAAAAGTCAACCGCTGAACATAGGCCACCCTCATTAATTGCAGATGGGGAATGATTTTGCCATCGACACGACACCACACTTGTCGGGCGGGTTGGCAGCAGCAGTTTTTTTTTTTAATTAACAGTTTTTATCAGGAATATGCTCCTACCAATCTTCTCTTTCATTTCCCTCTGTCACCTCATACCATACACACAGAATATTATGGGGTAGTGGATATTCTTACCCCGCCACTACACACGTCTGCAAATTTCCCGCGGTAAGTAAATTCTTGGTAAGTAAAATCTTATCCGTCATTAATGCACAATGCAATGTACCTATATTTTTTTTTCAATATTCCCAGCCATCAAAACTGCGTACTTTTTTTCCTCAACCTTACAATTATTTTAAGCTAGGGGCCATCAAAATCAAAATCATCCATCAAAATCATTTACCAAATGGTGCGACAGCTGATTTCCATCTGATAATCTACAAACTAGCCAGCCTGTTAGACAAGTAGTCCTGTGCTCATATTTCAACTGATTTTTCAAAGCATCAATGTTCAACTACAGAATCAATTCAACCAAATTAATCACCAATGCACATAGGTCAACTTGACAAATTAAACAAAACAATAAACGCAAGAGACAGCCCTATTTCTCATTTAAATAACTTAGACAGTGCCAACAAAATGTAAACCAAAGGAGAATTGACTTTTATTCCCTTCGGCACAAATAGGGTTATCTAATTTCAGCCTGCCTTTTCACAAAGCAAAATGATTAAACACTATCACAAAACATATACATAATTTTCCAAATAGCGCGACATTCAATTTCAATTTTCCGTGCAACAACAAACACAGTGATCAAATATATTTACAAAACATATGCAGCAGCATTTAAAGGAGCATATTAAATTCAACCTTTTAATCACAACCGCTACAAATATGAAAATTTTCGCGGTAAGCCCAAAAGCATTTTGGAAAAAAAGGAATTACCCCCCGACTGGTCGGGGGAGGGACCCTTTTCAAACCTAGGGGCCTGGTGGCTAGCCGGAGGGCGCCGAGAGTCGCCCGTCAGAGGGCGTGGCTGAGCGCCCCCGCCCGTGGGGGTCGAGGGCCTGGCAGAGCCCCGAGAGGAGACGCAGTTCGCACCCAGGCACAAAACTGCATGGTGATTGCCCTAGCAATGCAGACAGGGCCGCCGATGCGGACAGTCTCGCTGGAGGTGCCCTTCCAAACATGAGCAGCACCAGCGGCGCTCCTTGGCGATAGTTCGCCTCGCCGGAACCGGCTTACCTAATCATTTCGGGCACGACGTTACCCGGTGATCAGATGCTCAACAATAGGAGCATGGGGGGGGGGGGGGGTTGACGACGACTTGCCTGTCAGATTCAGCCTCTCACTGGGCACGGCTCGTAAGTCGTCAACGGTGCCCGCCGCGTTCTCGATCTGCCGGCACTGCTCCTCCAAAAACCGCAGCATGTCATAGAAGGGCGGAATATAGGAGGCCTCGTCCCCGCCGTACCTCTCCTCAAAATGTATTCGAAGGTCGAGAGGTAGACGGGACAGCACGATGCGGAGCAACAAAAAAGCCCATTCGCCCACTGGTAAATCCAGCCGCCTCAACGTATTACAGGACACCAAGACTGGATCCAACAGGTCCGGACGTAGTCTGGCCCGGTCACTAAGCAGCGGGAGGCTTAGAAGCTGCTTAACATGTTCGTCCGCAATTCGCCGGACGTTGGCGTATCTTCTGGCTAGGAGGTCCCGAGCAGTCTGGTAGGCGTCGTCCGACAATCTCAAGTGGCCGACGACGCCCAGGGCCTCCCCCTCCAGTGAGGCCAGGAGGTACGCCATCTTCTGGCTCGGGGTCAAGTCTCTCCGGGCGTCCACTAGGCTGTCGAAAAGACCAACGAAGGTCAGCCATTCGGAAAGGACCCCGGAGAACCTTGGCAGGTCCAGAGTTGGGAGTCGTCCCAACAGTTCCGGCTGATGGTGCTTCCGAGAGGACTCGGGCAGGCTCTCATCCGAGCTTCACGCGCCTCCTCGGCATACCTGCCTTCAGCCTCGATCAACTCGTCCGTGAGCGAAAAGAACTGCTCGTAGTCCGCGAAGCAGGAGTCCAGGACTCCCTTTTCCACATCCGAATCCTCGAGCTCAGCGTAAGCCTCCTCCACTGCGGCCCTTCGAGCATCGACCTGCTCGAACCGCTTCATCAAGTTATGAACCCTATCCGGTCGACCTATCAAAGCATGGGCGCTGGTGGCCCAGCGTAACTCAGTCCGCAGGCAACGGATTAGTAGCTTGGGCGATGACATCACTACTAAATACAATTACGATGCGGCTCAAGCACAAATTACAAAAATAACAAATAACAAATACAACAAAAAATTAACAGTTAACAAATGCAGTTCCTATCAAATCGAGTTGAATAGAAATTACACAAATACGAATTACTACTTATCAAACCAAATACAAGTTAGCACAAAAGAAGACACAAATCAAATTAACAAATAACAAATACTAGTGCGATCAAATCAAGTTAAATTCAAATTGCGCAAATACAATTACTACTCTTTAGTTCAAATACAAATTACAATACAAACGAAGATACACATTACGACCGATCAACAAAAAATGCCTAGCTCGGAAATCGACCCATCGATAAGCAATCCACTACAACTATCCGACAACGATAATTAACCAATTACGTGATAATAACCATCTACCTACATGACGTATACCTCTAGAAAAACTCCCGCTTGCGCACTAAACGGGCGCGGCTTTTCAAATCTACCCACTAACCAAATAAGCAAGCAACAAAGGAAAATAATTTTATTATTATGTACAAAAAAAAATATTTTTACGTATTACGGACGGGCGTGATTGTAGACACAAAATTAAACCAATTAAACGAACGCTCCCTGCCACCAGAATTGCTTAATTTTTATCAAACACTATGGTCGGGATCGACAGGGGAATCGAACCCGGAACCACGCTCTGCTACCAGTTTGTTACGGCCTACGGCTGCTCCTCCAAAAATTCAAATCCTCTGGGGCCCATTCAGCAGAGTTTCAACGAACAGACGTAGGTCGGGCCTCAATATGGCCGCGTGGAATTTCTCTAATTACAATAAACAATAAGGGAGAGCGTTCTACACTACTGCCATTCAACAGGGAGAATATTAAACGGAGCTTACTTACCTATATCCAAGGCGACTGGTCCCTCAGGATTCGGTCGGTCAGGTCGCATGTGGTTGTGTGGTGCCAGGGAAATAAGGTGCTGTGATGTGTATCTGGGTGTGACTGGTGGTGATTGACCTTATTAGACCTTTGCCGTCGGCAGCAGCCCGGACGTCAGCACCGCTCCAAATTGAGGTAATATTCCGCGGCGCCGTCCACAGTCACTTTATTCGTTCGTCACGATGACAGTCCATTAACTATATCGTACGACTAACTAACTTACAGAAGCCACTAACTCGTTTGTTATAAAGCTTAACACGACAAAACGAACACGGAGTGTCCGGATCAAAGGTCACTACCGTTTCGCGTGGCAACAGTTATTTCTAGAATATCAAAGGCCGCACTAGCTAATATTGTCGAATGCACTTATACAGATTCTGAGTCGGACCCAATAAGTCCCGGGAAAGGCTATCCAACAAGGAATGCGCGTTACAAATCCTAGACAGTATATTTACTAGACGCCTAAACTATTCTGCGTTTCCCGCACAAAAATTGACAGCGTGCTGACGTTAGCACAGCTGGCAGACGACTCGTGTGCTCGCGCGCCCTCGACACATCCAAGCTAGCCCGAACGTCAAACCGGTATAGCACCGAGCCGCGCGCCCTCTGACGTCAATCCCGAAGTCAGCGTTCGGGCGTAAACAGCCTTATTTAGGCATTTTCTTTGACGATTTATTCTGACATTGTTTAGGTACTACAAAATACAGACTTAAAAGGAGTCAGACATGACAACAAAACCTTAAAAGTAGTTTTTTCCTAAATGTATTATATTCTGTGAAGAGTGATCTCACTAAAATTGTTTGTAATGATGTAACCAATATATTCCCAAAAGGTCTTTAGTAAATTAAAAATGACCCTGTATACATTTTTTTTAAGTTATAATAATCTCACTTTTTAGGATCTGTAGGTGGATCCACGCTGTTCAAGTAAGCAACGTGAGCGCCGAGATATTCCGGATACTTCTCTAACAATTCTTCATACAATTGCTCCAATTTATCTCCTTCTGTAATTAAAATAACGAAATATTAGCAAACATCAATAAAGTTTTTTTAAGGTATGAAATGAAGGAACTTTGCAATAAAAGTAAAATAACAGACAATATACGTTCCACTGCTGGGCACAGACCTCCTCTCATTTATAAGAGGTGCCGTTCCGCCGCGCTGCACCAATGCATGTTGGCGAACTTCACATCTCTTTGAAATATTTATTTATTATCTTATTTCTCTGAGATAAAAAATAACACTGCCGAGCACGTGGTAAATCTGCACTTAAAATCAATATGTGCTAACAATTTCATTGGTGCCGGCGTCGATTCAACCCGGGTTGCTGTTATTATTTTAATGCGGTTTGAAATGGATATATTGGAAAAACAATAATAATTACTGTCCAAAGTAATTTTATAATTAATAAAGTAATACAGGCTGGGCCATCTAACGTTTGGAATTGGAACTATACGTTATTTTGAGGTTGGAAGATTTGATGCCGATGTGACAGGAAGTTAGTTTTATGTTTGACATTTCTATGGGGTATAATGGGTCGTTTTTTTCGCTTGAACAAAGTTGGTAAACATTAAAAAATTATTTCCAAAGTGGTAAGTATCTTACTCAAACTATAAGAAATTTACGAAAAAAATTTGACAAAAAAGAAGGTTCCAAAAACGCAGTTTGTGGATCAATTTGTGAAGCGAATTCGTGAAACTGTATCGTTGTTGGATAAAAAACCCGTTTGAGATGATCAGTGCCAAGCTATTTCTAATTTGTTTTGTGTTGTTAATTGTGTAAAATACACAATACTTTCAATAAGTATTGTTTATAATTTATATTTGAATAAAAAAGTTTTTGTTTTTGTTTCTGTTTCCGTTTCTGTTTCCTTGTACGTACCCGTTCAGTGCGCTCAACAGAAAACATCGCTGCTGTTGCTCGGAGTGTGCGTGAACAACCATCAACATCAACTCGTCAACGTTCTCAAGAATTGAACATTTCACGCACTTCTTTGAGAAGAATTTTGCATAAAGTACTCGGTATGAATTACACAAATTTCAATTAGTGCAAGAGCTGAAGCCGTATGACCATCCGATGCGTTTTCGGTTTGCTCAAAGGGCCGAAAACCGCTTGCTCGAAGTTGAGCATTTTTACCGAAAAATTATCTTTTCATATGAAGCTCATTTCCACCTCGGAGGATACGCCAATAAGCAAAATTGTCGTAAATCTGGGGCTCAGAAAATCTACACGTCATCGAGGAGATGCATCCACGAGTGGCTGTCTGGGGCGGATTTTGATGTCGATCGCTACCGCGCCATGCTAAGCGATTTTTTGTTTCCCAAAATTGAATTGAAGAAAATAATAAGTCGAAATGCTGATGTGAATTGGCCACTTTAAAGCTGCGTTTTGATTCCGTTGGACTTTTTTTGTAGGAAGCTGTTAAGGACAAGTGTTACACTAACCATCCAGAGACGATTGACGACTTGAAACATGAAATCGAAGTTGCCATTGAAGAAATAGAGGTCCAAACAATCGAAAATGTACTGGATTATTGGACTGATCGAATGGGGTATTGTAAAGCTAGACGTGGCAGTCATTTGAATGATGTTGTCTTCCATTCCTAAATGAAAAGGTTTCTCTTTCTAATAAATTCATAATTTTGAAAAAACATTTATTAGTTTTTTTTTTAGAGCCGGTTCAAATTCCAAATCTTAAATGGCCCACCTCTTACAATAGATTTAAACAGTGGTAGAGCCAAGCGGCAGATTTGCTGTCGCACGGATGGGCCGGCTCGAACCGGGGTGGTACGACGACCTCACAGAAAACCAGCGTGAAGTAGAGGTTTACCTCTGCGTTTCGCTCGGTGAGTGCAGCTGGCCGGAGGCCCTTTTTACTGGAAATGAGGCATTCCATCTTAGTCCTCACGGGTGACAACGCATCTACATTTTGATTTGTAACAGAGGATAGATGTAGAAGTCTATGGGCCGCAGCAACCACTTACCATCAGGTGGACTGTGTGCTCGTGTGTCACCCTTATCCTATAAAAAAAAATATTTTATATTTATAGTACGAGTATCGTATAATATAAATATTTATAGTACGAGTATCGTATAATATAAATTAATTACATTAAGTTGTAGTAACAGAACAGACCTAGTTTACTAGTTGGCAGCATAATATGGTACCATGTGTGCATTAGTAATTGGACGCTAACAAGCTTGAGCAGCCAGCTGATGACGAGATCGCTGTACGAGTTAAATAATACCCAACTTACCAACTTAGCTTAGAAAACGAGGAGGTAGCGAGGTCCTTTTTCACTTTTGCAAGTGATATTGTACCAGGCGAGCAAAAGGAACCGAAAGTCACTTAGCACTGCTTAGACAACCAAAAGATGTCAAAGTCTCTAGTTCACTTGTTTGAGTGATACGAAACTAGGCTAGTATAAGGAACCGAGAGTTATCTAGCATTCGTTTAAACCATGAGGTATCGAGATCCTTGTTGACTTGTATTAGTCATACGGTACCAAGCGCGCATGAGCTCGAGGGAGTTGCCTAGCTTGGGCAGGCAGCCGGCAGCCGGCAGCGAGGTCCTTATTGACTTGAATTAGTGATACGGTACTAGGCACGCATGAGGGCGCGGGAGCTACCTAGCTTGGGCAGCCAGCTGGCGGCGAGGTCCCTGTGCGCGTCGGCGTAGTCCTCGGTGCGGCGCGGCGCGGGCGCGCGGCGCGGCGGCTCGCAGGGCGCCAGGCGCAGCGCGTACACGTCGGCGCGCCGCCCCAGCTCGTCCTTCGCGAACGTCACCGTGCCCGACAGCGTCTGCCCCACCGTCAGCCCCGACCGGCTTAACCTGCAACACGTCGCCGACGCGAACTTTATCTTTAATACTGTTCTCCGGTCTATGGTGTCCTGGTACCTCCGTACCGTACAACCTGTACAACATTTTGTCACCCTTATTTCTAAAAAAAAATTCACATGTTTTTATTAGAAATAAGGGTGACAAACAAGCACATAATCCACTTGATGGTAAGTGATACTGAGGCTTATACAGATTATTCTCAACTATCAAAAAAGGGGATGCGTTGTCACTCCTGAAGACTAGGATCAAATGCCTCTTTTATTATTTTGAGTTGTTGTCAATGAGTGACCTTTGTTCCCTAACATTATTTTTTATTTATTATTTTATAAAAAAAAATGCCATTTATAGGCCGATACTTAAACGGACGTTACGTAGACAAAAAAAATCTACTTGGTATTTCCTAAGTTGTAAATTATTTTTAACCAAATATTTAAGATACAAAATGGCAAATTAATTCAGTATCGTAAATATATAGATACTCACTTATCAGCCGGCACAGATGCGAAGTAGAGAGGCAAGAGGTTGCCGCTAGCCAACGACGCTGACGTGAACTTCTTCCCTCCTGTTAACGCCTGAAATTACAATGACTGACGTAAGCAACTATTATAGATGATTCATGTTTATGCAAATACCACACATTAAAAAAAAATACTTTTTTTCGGTGTTTAAAGACGTCGGTCGTACAGGCCTTTTGGATACGTTGTAGTTCCTGCACCAATGGTCATGGAAGGGGGAGGGGGGAGAACTGGCCATAAAATATAGTTCTATCGCGTATGTTTTTTTCTTCTAAATGTCCCTGTATCGCCGTCTTACCTACTTCTGTCGCCAAACAACAGTGCGTGTATTCCGGCCTAAAGCGTGCCAGTACAATTACAGGTAGTAAGGTATTCCATCTTAGTCTACGGAGGTGACAACGCATCTGCAGCTTACTGTATTTGAATTTGGTTGCAGGTTTAGTAACTTACCATTAGGTGAACTAAAAAAAATTATTAAATTTTACATTAGAAGGGTACTCGAGCAAGAAGACGTTTTTTTATGTTTGTATGTGTGCATGTAGGGTATGTATAATGCACATGACAGATCACGTAAGTTAATGCGTGCGTTTATATGTGTCCATTTTCGTGTTCGTGTGTGCGTGTCCATGCTAGTGTGTAAATCTATGTATGTGTGTGCGTTTAAGTGTATGTATTCGTATGCGTGTATGTATGCGTATGCGTGTACGTGAACGTGTACGTGTTATGTGTGTGCAGATGTGTGCACGTGTGCGTATGCGTGTACGTGAGCGTGTGTACGTGTGTAAGTGTATGTACGTGAGTGCGTATGTGTGTGCGTGTGCGTATGCGTGTACGCTAGCGTGTGTACGTGTGTAAGTGTGCGGTTGAGTGGACGTGTGTAAGTGTATTTACGTATGTGCGTATGTGTGTACATGTGCGTATGCGTGTACGTGAGCGTGTGTACGTGTGTAAATGTATGTACGTGTGTGCGAATGTGAGTACGTGTGCGTGTGCGTATACGTGAGCGTGTGTACGTGTGTAAGCGTATGTACGTGTGTGAGTATGTGTGTACGTGTGCGAATGCGTGTACGAGAGCGTGTGTACGTGTGTAAGTGTATGTACGTGTGTACGTATGTGTGTACGTGTACGTGTACGTGAGCGTGTGTACGTGTTTAAGGGCATGTACGTGTGTGCGTACGTGTGCACGTGTGCGTGTGCGTGTACGTGAGCGTGTGTACGTGTGTAAGTGTATGTACGTGTGTACGTATGTGTACGTGTGCGTGTACGTGAGCGTGTGTACGTGTATGTACGTGTGCGTACGTGTTCACGTTTGCGTGTGCGTGTACATAAGCGTGTGTACGTGTGTAAGTGTATGTACGTGTGTGCGTACGTGTGCACGTGTGCGTGTGCGTGTACGTGAGCGTGTGTACATGTGTAAGTGTATGTACTTGTGTACGTATGTGTGTACGTGTGCGTGTACGTGAACGTGTGTACGTGTGTAAGTGTATGTACGTATGTGCGTACGTGTGCACGTGTGCGTGTGCGTGTACGTGAGCGTGTGTACGTTTGTAAGTGTATGTACGTGTGTGCGTGCGTGTGCACGTGTGCGTGTGCGTGTACGTGAGCGTGTGTACGTTTGTAAGTGTATGTACGTTTGTAAGTGTATGTACGTGTGTGCGTACGTGTGCACGTGTGCGTGTGCGTTTACGTGAGCGTGTGTACGTGTGTGAGTATATGTACGTGTGTGCGTACGTGTGCACGTGTGCGTGTGCGTGTACGTGAGCGTGTGTACGTGTGTAAGTGTATGTACGTGTGTACGTATGTGTTTACGTGTGCGTGTACGTGAACGTGTGTACGTGTGTAAGTGTATGTACGTGTGCACGTGTTTGTGTGCGTTTACGTGAGCGTGTGTACGTGTGTAAGTGTATGTACGTGTGTGCGTACATGTGCACGTGTGCGTGTGCGTGAGCGTGTGTACGTGTGTAAGTATATGTACGTGTGTGTTTACGTGTGCACGTGTGCGAGTGCGTGTACGTGAGCGTGTACGTGTGTAAGTGTATGTACGTGTGTGCGTACGTGTGCACGTATGCGTGTGCGTGTACGTGAGCGTGTGTACATGTGTAAATATATGTACGTGTGTGCGTACGTGTGTAAGTGTATGTAAGTGTGTGCGTACGTGTGCACGTGTGCGTGTACGTGAGCGTGTGTACGTGTGTAAGTGTATGTACGTGTGTGCGTACGTGTGCACGTGTGCGTGTGCGTGTACGTGAGCGAGTGTACGTGTGTAAGTGTATGTACGTGTGTTCGTATGTGTGTACGTGTGCGTGTACGTGTGCGTGTACGTGAGCGTGTGTACGTGTGTAAGTGTATGTACGTGTGTGCGTACGTGTGCACGTGTGCGTGTGCGTGTACGTGAGCGTGTGTACGTGTGTAAGTGTATGTACGTGTGTGCGTACTTGTGCACGTGTGCGTGTGCGTGTACGTGAGCCTGTGTACGTGTGTAAGTGTATGTACGTGTGTACGTATGTGTGTACGTGTACGTGTACGTGAACGTGTGTACGTGTGTAAGTGTATGTACGTGTGTGCGTACGTGTGCACGTATGCGTGTGCGTGTACGTGAGCGTGTGTACGTGTATAAGTGTATGAACGTGTGTACGTATGTGTGTAAGTGTGTGTGTACGTGAGCGTGTGTACGTGTGTAAGTGTATGTACGTGTGTGCGTACGTGTGTACGTATGCGTGTGCGTGTACGGGAGCGTGTGTACGTGTATAAGTGTATGTACGTGTGTACGTATGTGTGTACGTGTGCGTGTACGTGAGCGTGTGTACGTGTGTGTGTGTATGTACGTGTGTGCGTACATGTGCACATGTGCGTGTGCGTGTACGTGAGCCTGTGTACGTGTGTACGTATGTGTGTACGTGAGTGTGTGTACGTGTGTAAGTGTATGTACGTGTGCGGGTACGTGTGCACGTGCGTGTGCGTGTACGTGAGCGTGTGTACGTATGTGCGTGTGTACCTGCGCGTGCTCGCAGTACACGTCGAGCGCGATGGGCTGCGGCAGGCGCTGCTGCAGCGCGACGGGCAGCTCCTGCAGCCGCTCCAGCAGCGCGCGGTTGTCATGCCGCACGTTTAACCGCAACACGTACTCGCCCTTCTCCAGCTTCACCGAGTACTGACCAACACAAACACACCGGACCGTTCAAAAAGCGCCACTTAACGCACAAACGGTTTTCTCTTTTCTTAAAAATAAACATTCAGATGTATTTCTGCCGTAAAAACATTGAGCAGACATTATTTTTTTTTTATAAGATAAGGGTGACATACGAGCACACAATCTACCTGATGGTAAGTGGTTGCTGTGGCCCATAGACATCTACATTTATCCTCGATTAAGAATCAAAATGCATATGCGTTGTCACCTGTAAGGACTAAGATGGAAAGCCTCTTGTACATAAATTGATATGGAAAAAAAATCATCATAATCAGTTCACAATCTACAAAACACACGATTTTTTACGTGGTAGAGACACGCTGTAGCTGTTATGATTGTAGCATGAATGGGTCGGCACAACCGGCGTCCTACAGAATACCAGCGTAAAATAGCATCTCAATGCTGCTATTTCGTAGTGTAGAGAACCGGACACCCTTTTGTTTACTATATACGAAACATTCCATGTTAGTTCTCAGTATTGACAACAACGCAGGTGCATTTTGATTCTTAATTAAGTAAAATTTTATTCAAAAAATAAATCTGGATTTCTTGCTAGTTCTTCGCAGGACAGAGGTTTTTTTTTCTAACCAATGGTAAAGTAAAAAATGGCTTTCAATAAGAATTACACATGTGATCTATATTAAATAAAAAAAATATTCCATTCTACTCTATTCTATTCGATATCTACGGCCAAAGCATCCACTTACTTAACTGTATGCCGTTTGTAACCCTTATTCTATTAAAAAAAAAAAAACGTACAAACACCGACTAAAAACAATTACCCCCGCTGTATTTTTGTCGTAAAACATTGTGTATACAATGCGATTCAAATAAGAAAAGCAACGTCAAGGATGTCGAATGACCGCGATCTGTCAACTATCACTAGGAAAATTACGGCTTGCAAAGAAAAATAATTTGCGTATTGATAACGTTTTTTTTTTTTCACTATATTTAATTTTAATCTTAGTTTTATCAAATCTATTGAACTTTTTAATTATTTTTATAAATGAATTTAAAACATTGACAGTAGAATAAAATATTTTTGAATTTAAAATATTTAAATGCCTACATACATCCATGTTCTTTTTTACAAGGGAAAGCAGCAGTGATGATAATGATGACAATAATGACTACTCAGACATTAATGCACAGATGAGCGAAATTGAAATACTAAATTCAGACTTTTTCCTTCATGGTTATTTAGTAAATAAATATCATTTCAAAAATACCTGTTTTGCTCACCTTCCTAAATGATTTGAATTGACAGCTATTAACACCTGAAGTCACAATATTACGACGACACATTGTGACCTTACAATGCGATTCAAATATAATAAAAATAAATATAAAAATATAATAGTCTTATTTGAATCGCATAGTACTTAATTTGAATATGGAAAAATACCCAGACGCGAAATAATTATATGAAGACCATACAAATGGTCCCGCGTGGTATTTCCACGCGGGCCATTTGCATGGTCTATATGCGGTATTGATGCGCAATACCACAGATGCACGCTTAGCGACAGCACTACCGGACTGTTGATTATGGAGAATTTTCTCCACATTTACTTAAACTATTGTATTCACGCTACTGTCACCTCTATTTTCCTTAAAATATAAAGAATGCAACATGAAACCGATAAAAATTTATTGTCTAGGAACATTACCGTCATCAGTTCCGACATGTTTCGATTTGTGTGCAGCACTGTCATGAATTCTTCGAATGTCAAATTATTCTGATCTTTTGTTCTCAGGCAGCTGATAACGGAGCAGGTAAACGTTGTTGGATCCGGCTCGAAGGACCATATGTTGGTTTGAATAAAATCGAGACTTGTTTGGGTATAGTATAATGATATTAAACACGTATGTTTTGTTCAACGACCTATCTCACATATCGGCTAGTGCTGCAAAATGCCATCTAGCAGCGTTGTACTCAGTAGAGCGACGTGCTAAGAGGCTTATTGGTAACCTTGATTTGGTTAATACCAATCTCTTCAGCCTCGGGCACAGGCGCAGAGTAACCAGCCTCTCGGTATACTATAGGATGCATTTCGGAATGTGCGCAGAAATTACAGGCTTTAATTCATCCCTCCTCTTGCCACCATCGGACAACCAGACTGTTGTCGATATGTGAATGATACGGATACCTTTATTGTCGATATTCCACGCATTCGAACAAAACGGTATGCTTCATCTTTCGTAATGCGAACAGCAAAGGGGTGGAATAATTCGCCGGCAATTCTTTCCGTCCGAATCAATGTGGGCGTCTTCAAGGCAAGAGTTAATGAATCATCATTATGATTACAACGCTTCACAAGTCCACTGCTGAACATAGGCCTCCCCAAAAGAATGCCACAAAAAAACACGGTTCTACGTCACCTGCATCCATCGATTTCCTGCATATTTTACCAGGTCGTCACTCCATCTAGTGAGGGGACGCCCTACACTTCGTCCGCCGGTACGAGGCCGCCACTCGAGAACCTTTTTTTCCCATTAGTTGTCGGTTCTTCGAGATATTGCCGGCCCATTGCCACTTCAGCTTACTAATCCGTTGGGCTATGTCGGTCACTCTGATTCTACTGCGGATATCCTCATTTCTAGGTTTATCACGCAGAGAAACTCCGAGCATAGCCCTCTCCATAGCTCGCTGAGAGACCTTCCTCATCCGGCCAGCAGTGAAGGACCACGTCTCAGTTCCATAGGTCATCACTGGCAACACGCATTGGTTGTACAGTCTCGTTTTCAATTTTTGTGATATATCTGACGAGATGTGCCGTAATTTCCCAAACGCTGCCCAACCGAGTTGATACCGTCGATTGACCTCTCGGTCGAAGTTGGACTTACCTAGTCGGACTCTTTGTCCCAGGTAAACATACTCGTCAACAACAACAACAACTACAACTTCGAGCTAAGTGCTCCCAACAACTACCGGCATAGGTGTAACATGATCTTTGTTTTGTCCATGTTCATCTTAAAACCTATCCGTTGGGAATCACAATTGAGGTCATTGAGCATAATGCTTAGGTCCTCTAGCGATTTTGCCATAAGGACTATATCGTTGGCAAATCGAATGTGAGTGATGTAGTTGCCATTGATGTTAATACCGTATCATTTCCAGTCCAGAAGCTTGAAAACGTCTTCCCATGCAGCGGTGAAGAGTTTCGGGGATATAACGTCACCCTGTCTTACACCTCTCTATATAGCCTATATATAGTATACCTCGGATAGGTTTCGTACTCTGGTTCTGTACTTGGATAGCCATCGTAGCTCTACTGTACAAGCACTTCAGCACTTCGATATACCGACAGTCAACTTGGCACCGCTGAAGGGACTGCATCACCGCCCAAATTTCGACGGAATCAAAGGTTTTCTCATAGTCCACATACGTCAGACATAGTGGCAAATTGTACTCTTCGGACTTCTGTACAATTTGCCGAAGGGTATGTACCGGATGGCCCAAAATTAACGAAGGGGTTTGAATTTCTTATAATTTTTTTATTATAATTTTTTTTCTTTTCTTTTCAGTATTTTGTAAAGAAGACTTGGGGAATTTAAGATGGAGAATTTTTCAAATCAACGATCCATTGTTTTGACTCAGCGCGCATATCGTCGTTATTTTAATGTGCGGGTTGGACCCTCAGAGTCAACAATAAACCACTCACGAGCGTCGCTGCAGAGATTTTTGCATACAATAGGAATGTTTCCATACAAGATTTAGCTTGTCTGAGAATTGAAACCGACAGATTACCAGCAACGACTTGATTATGCAGTTTTTTTCGGCAAAAAGCAGAAGAAAATCATCATTTTATTCATAATTTAGTTATGAGCGACGAAGCCCATTTCCAATTAAGTGGGTTCGTTAATAAGCAAAACTGCAGGATATGGGCTACGGAAAATCCGAGAGTAGTTCAATAGCGAGAATTACATCCACCTAAGTGTACGGTTTGGTGCGGTGTTTCATCGGAAAGGATAATTGGTCCTTATTTTTTTGAAAATGAAAACGGGGTCGCCGTTTCCGTCAATGGTGTCAGGTATCGGACCATGTTGGAATTTTTTTTAAGGCCAGCTGTGGAAAACCATCCGCAAGTATGGTTCCAACAAGATGGAGCCACAGCGCACACTGCAAGGGACACAATGGCTCTTTTACGGGACATCTTTGGTGAACGAATTATTTCGCGTACAAGTGATTTTTATTGGCCTCCGCGTTCACCGGGTTTAACCGCTCCAGACTGTTTTCTTTGGGGTTATTTGAAAGGAAAAGTCTACATCAATAAGCCTAGAACCATCCAGCAATTAAAAAGCAATATACGCGACGAATTAAACAACATAACACCTGAAGTTTTGCGAAAGGTTATGGAAAATGTGTTGGAAAGAGCACGAATATGCGAAGCAGAAAATGGCCACCACTTGCGAGATATTATTTTTCATAACTAAACTAAAAATATACCCCATTTATATACTGTATTTAAAAAATAATAATAATTATGTTTTATATAAAAAGTTATAACGAATTCAAACCCCTTCGTTAATTTTGGGCCACCCAGTATGTGGTCTATGGTGCTAAAGCCTTTTCGGAAACCGCGAGACGATTCGTAATGACTCTCGAAAAGAGTTGGTTCATAAATTCCATGCTGTAAATTTACTGCGAAATGGCTCGGTAAAGGAAAATGTAGCGCTTTAGCCTAGTCTTTAGCTTCGCCACACCAGCTAAGTGAATATAAATAAATAAATGCAATTTATAATTCAGTATAACAAAGTAAGAGAAACAAAGTACCTTAGAGGGATACGCGTCGCCTACGGCCATGAGCTGCTTGCAACTGTTGTACAGCATCCACATCTGCGACTCGTACTCCGATTCGTACAGCATGTCGCATAGCAGCGACACTATCGGTGACACCTGGCAAATAAATACACACACATATTTATCTACCTTTAGCTAATTAAATAATAATTTACGTAGTAGAGCCATGCTGCAACTATATAATGGGTGGGTTCGATCGGGGTAGGACCACGCTCTCACAGAATACCAGCGTAAAATAGCAGCTAAACACTGCTGTGTTTCGTATGATGAGTGTAGAGAACCGGACACTATTTACTAGAAACGAGGCACTCTATCTTAGTCCTCAGTGGTAGGAACGCATCTGCATTTTGATTCGTAGTTGTTGTTTTAATGTAGATGTCTATGGGCCACAGTATCCAATTACCATCAGTTGGACAGTGCGCTCGTTTGTAATAATAATTCTATAAAAATAAATTGAATCTTACAAACTTTTAAGAATTAAAAAAATAATTATTAAACATTTTTACTGATTCTTCAGTTTAAATTTTTATTTATTAAGACTTATTTTTAATTCCCAAAGTTTCGGGTGTTTTACCGCTAAATTAAGTAATAAATAATAAGCATAAATTAAGGCGATAAAATTCGTAAATAGTAGTAGAAAAATCAAGTTAATTATTTTTACATATATGTATAATATTAATATTAGGTGATAGGACCCTTATTCTGCCTTGAAACTCCTCAGAGCTGACAACGTATCTGCATTTAAAGTTGGTTGCAGCTGTCCACGGACTGCAGTAGCCACTTACCATCAGATGGACTGTAAGTTATTTTTCACTTCAGTTTTAGAAAAAAATACAACAAAGAACCCATTTGCAAAGATCTATAATATTCTATATATATATTTCGAAGCGTATCAAAGAAAAATCCATACAAACATCAAAGTATTACTGCCTCAGGTGCTACAAAATCAATATTAATAGGCTTTGAATAGTTTTGTAATACTTATTCTTAGCACAATTTTTAATTAAAATTTTGTTTAAACCAAGATGAAGCTTACCTCGGTCGCCTTCGCTATGTGGAAGTTATATGTGTTGATTAATTGATATATCTGTCTACCCGGCGGTATCACATCCCGAGCGGTTAACGGCACGATTTTTGATTCTGCTGGCCTGCAATTAAAGGCAACTTTATTATGTTTTAGTTATAACACTGATTAGGTAGCCATGTAGTGCGTAAGGGGATCTACTACTGATGAGGACTCTTCATGAGGACAAGTTAAAATAATATAAAACTGCTGATGTCAACCCGCCTGCCCAATACAGCAAGTAACAAATATCCTACATATGAGATAATCTATGGAGACCTATGTTCAACAGGGGACTTTTGACAGGTACATACACTTGTCAGTTAGGAAACAGTTCAATGCCGAACTCTTGAGGTTATGATCTTTTTAATAAACATATCTCAAGATGCGGTTTAGGTCTACGATATCATCTGAGTGACGCACTGATTAATAAACTAAACTCGTCTCTAAAGTGTGTGTACTTGAGATGCTAAAAGCTGAGTGCGGGCAATCCGTGACTTAAGATCGTGATTGTTGACATGGCGATTGAAAATATTGTAAGAGAAATTAATTATTACGACGAAATTGAGTACAATGACGATATTTTACAGCCTTCACGATATTGTTAATCAATTTTAACAATTTAAGGTTTTCGAAAGTAGAAAACAACTTTATAACGTGATGCAGCTCTATTTATTTTAAAGGGGAATGCCCAGCGTTCATAGACACTTCGGCCATGGGTGCCCACATATAAAAGCATATGGAAATGATAATATGCAATTAAAGGAATGAAATGGTTAAGGAATTGGTTTAAAAAAAATCCAGATTTTTAAGATATATAGGTTTTTTATTTTCACAAGAACAGATTTTTAACAACAAATGACTTCGTATTTTCGTGACATTTAAACCACAATTGATGAGTTACTGAGAGCTGGGAAGAACTCTGGCCGGTGTGAAAGCTGGGGTCATGGTTAACAGTGGATATTGAGTCCAAGTTCGTGCAAAGGTTATCGTAAGAAATGGGAGCGGGATCCATTTTCAGGCCGTGGTCAATAGGGTGAGAAGAATTATCGGAGTCCATTTAGAAAGCTTATTCGTTGCTCAGATAACAAATCCGCGAGAAAACAAACAAAATAACACAAATGCAAAAGAATTCATCTTGTGACTATTTAGTTTTGATATTTATGACATAGGCCTAGCTGTTAGATTCGATGTTGCCAATTAACAGACATAAAATCGATAAATAGATAGCGATTATTTTATTCAATTTATAATTTCATAAAAAAGAATAATCTTTGATTCGCTTTAATTTCTGCACGCCTTTTAAAATATGTTTTGTTTTATTTATTTAAATTCAATTTTAAATGTATTTTTAAGAACAGATAAGAATAACAGGTAAATTGTGCAGTAGCGTTTTTGTTATTTTCTAAAGAGTTCATGGTAAACCAACTAGCAATTCGCTTGTTTAATTATCATAACATCATAATTGTACACGCCCCTAGCTGTCCCGACAAAGTTCAAATATCCCGGGGCCCATTAGCGGTAGATTCGACGGACAACTAAGGCTGGGGCTCGAAATACCTATGGATAATCAATATAGATGGAATAGGTCATTAATTCGACTTACTTGGTTCAGAAGCGAAGACTGGCCACAAGGCTCGGTCGGGCGGTAGGTGTAGTGTATGTAAGTGGTGTTTAGTGGTGTGTAAAATTTGAAACCTGACTTAACCCTTTTAATCCGCAGCAGCCCTGACTCCGGCACCGCCACACGGTGTGGTATCCTCCAGCGGCGTCACCCCGATGTCACTCAAAGTCTAGCGTCCCCTAGCACAAATCTATAATCTAATACGAACGCTGTTTCTCGCGGGTCACAAAGTTTAGCGTTTTTAACCAACACAGGAAAATATCTCCGAGTTACATCAAATGCCACAAAGCAACTCGTCGACGCAAATTAATATTGTCAAGCACTTCAACCGGCAATCTCTATACAATTTACGTAAATTACTTGCCAACGAATTTAGGTTAATCAATCAAAATATTACGGCTTCGTTATCGCGTGAACGCACTAAAAATAACCAAAAATTAGAAGCGAAAAACTCCAATAGTAAATTCTACGCGTCCTTTCGACCGGCAGTTGTTCACACTTAATCTCTCGACGCGTCTCGAACGACGCGACCACGATTGGAATGCGGCCGGGGAGGGGCTGGCGATGACCTTCGTACCGCGCTATGCACGCGCCGAGTCGCGAGTTATGAATTCAATTTTCAAAAGGTTAATTTTTGGCCTAAACAATAATAATTTTTTTGTGCAAAAATAATGCAATCTTGTTTGGATACATAAATACCGCGATTAATTACCATAAAAAGATGTATTTTTTTAACAAATGCAAATTGTTGGGCGTTTCATGGCCAGAATGGGGCATTCGCCTTTATCAAAATAAAAGTATTCAATAAATCTCACGATATAGCAAAAACGAAACGTGATGAATGACATTCTAAACTTCACAATGTGACGTCACGAATCGTTCACGAGATCAAGCCCTCAAGTCACAGAACAGTATCCCTAAGTACAGCATCTTGAGATAATGTTTTTATGTGTTTATTAATTAGCAACGATCTTGAGATACTAATATCGTAATAAGGGCGTATCAACTGATTACGCACTTGAGTTCGTCGTGGAGTAACGTTTATTAATACGGGCCTAAATTAAGTACTCAGTACATGAACCCATTTTATTATTTTCTTCCTCGCATCTTGAGATTCTTCTTCAATTAATGCTAATAACAATAAAACCTCAGCTTCAATATCAAAAGACATGTTTTTCAATACAAAACTCAATAGGGAAACCAAAAATAATAACGTACGAGATTCGCCTCAATTTGGGAGGTTAAACGAGCGAAAGAATCGCGCAGATTTGCGTCCTACGTCCCGCGCGGAATTCGCCTCAATTTGAACGAAGCTTTATATATATTGGTATGTTGTTTTCTACCGACTTCGAAAAGGAGGAGATACCCAATTCGACTATTTTTTTTTTATACATCTAAGGGTTCCAAACCACCACACAGTGATGTATTGTTACCCATAGTTATCTACATCTATGTTCGAATTTCTATTAAAACCAAAATAGAGATAGTATGTTACCTACGAGGAATAATATGAAATCCTTACTAGAAAATGGGTTTCAAGCTCTCATCAGTCACCATAAGATAACAGCAGTATGTTGCGATATTATATTGGACGGCTCCGTGGCGCAGTGGCTTAGCAATGAGTTGCAGCTATTAGAGCTGCGGGTTCAAATCCCGCAAGGAAAAAGTATTTGTATGGTCTACAAATAATTGTTCCAGCTCTGAACGTTTGTCCTTGTGAAATTTATGTATGTTAACTGCCCCCTCGAGAGATACAGTAAGATGATGGTGGAGGCGCAGCAATCGCAACACATAAAGGTCGCCAACTCTGGCAACGAGGACCCATGGGGCCTGTCATACAGGTTAGCCAGCGGGGGGGTGCGTCTGCCTGCAAATGTGATCAACGGGATCGCCTTTGCAGGTGGGCACCCGGACAGACTGGAAGCAGCGATGCACGACTTATTGTCTGCGCTCTGTCCGGATGACAGCCTTGATCGCGACACGCCTTATCACCAACAGGTCCGTTTACTGGCGGCATTTGTGTCACGGTTGGGGACCTGGGAGCAATGGTCAAGGCTTTGGCTAACACGGCTCCGGGACACGATGGGATAAGTGCAAGAATTGTTAGAAATGTATGGATGGCAGCACCAAGGGAATTTCACTCGGTGCCTGCTAAGTGTGTAGTGAAGGGGGGTTTCCCCAAGGTAAAGAATTACGGAAAACTGATTGTCATTCCCAAGGATAATGACAAGCCGCTCACCGACGTCAAGGCATACCGTCCGATAACGCTCCTCCCTGTTTTGGGAAAATGACTAGAACGAGTAATGCTAAGATGTGCTCCTGCGATTAGTCGTGGGATATCTGAATACCACAGCATGGATTTTCTCCGGAGCGATCTATGGTAACAGCGCTGCGTGTCTTGCTCAGCACGGCAAGGTATTCTCGGGCATGCTACGTGCAGGCAATCTTTTTAGACATCTCTGGCGCCTTCGACAACGCCTGGTGGCCGATGATGATGGTCAAAGCAAAATGAGCTGGTTGTCCACCCAACATTTATAAAATGCTGGTGAACTACTTCACCTCCATAAGTGTGGACCTCTTCATCGGCGACCGGGTAGAGTGGAAGACGTTGACCATGGGATGTCCTCAAGGCTCCGTGTTGGGCCATTCACTGTGGAACGTATTGATGGAAGAACTACTCCGACTAGCCATGACTGTTAGAGGGAAACTTCAGCCTCCCCCCACCCGTTATTAAACTTGGTGGAGCATCTATTAAGACTGTAACCAATGCTAAGGTACTAGGCGTGATTTTGGACTCGGGACTATCGTTTGTACAACACGCGTCCAATATATCTGAAAGAGCGACCAAGGGATTCGGTAAAATGACTCGCGTATCGACATCATCATGGAATGTCCGATATCCGAGCTTAAGGCCTTAACAGTGGTTGAAATGCCTAAATCTAGGATATTTAAGTAAAAAAATCTCAATAACTGTTCATTTAATCCACAAAGAAAAAATACAGGGTAACAGAAGAGGATTTGGTAAATGTTTTTAATTTAACAAAATTGTATTTTTGTCAACCCCTTATGAGAAAAAAAATCCCCAAAGAGTACCTATCTTTGTCATATTTTGCAAAATTTCTCCAAAACGGCACAAGCTTTTTAAATAGTTCTTACACTAAAAAAAAGGTCTTAAAAATATTCATATTTTTAATTGAGAGTTTTATTTTTATTACCCGTTTTATAAGAGAATATATCATTTTTCCCTGAAATTGAATAAATTTACGCGAGCGCGCATGCTCCGTCGCCATGTAAGCTCTGTCACAGTCCGTTTTCGGACATCGTCGAGGGTGGACCGCACGTCGGTGTTGGAGCGACTTCGTTCAAATATATATTAGTTTTTTATAAGTTTATACTCAATTATAAATATTTTTATGCCTAGAAATACTTAATTTAGTTAATATCTGTACACTGGTAACTGT